TATTTCTCCAACCAGCTTTTGCAGGGTTAGCAGCTCAGAAAACAAAAGGAAAACGACGGGGCAGAAAGATTCTATGGCAGCAGGGCCCTAATTCCGAGGAAGGAGAGTGCCTTGTCCCGGGACAGCTACTGACCAGTCCAGGTCAGAGGCCTGCGCATCCATGTCCACCCAAACTCCATCAACAGGGGCCAGAGCCCCAGGAAGGGCGAATGGGTGAAGCTAAGAAACGTATGCGTGCCGGTGTCTAGTGTGTTTGTACCTATATATGTATGTGATAGAGGATACCAAAATCCATCGGGGAGAGGTGGATAGAGGTCAGCCGACAGAGTCTCTAAGCTTTCTTTAAAACTAGGCAGTGGGTCGCGCTGGCAGCTCTGCTTGGCGGAGCTCCGGATACCTGATGCGACTGCCCCTGCTGGACTGACTACCCTTGCAGCAGATGCGAAAGCTCTTTGGGATGAGCCCCCCAAAAACCGATGTAGTCCCCGCTTGTGGACTACAGAGCAAATTGTAGGTTTTGCTGTCTTAAAGTCCAACTCCCCATCTTGTAATCAGGCGCGTGGTTTGGGATTCAGTGATGTACCTATCCCCGGCAGGCAGGGCTCCTGTAAGCTTCATTTTCCCCATAGGAGGCCAGTTAGAGGTGAAGAAGCTTAACAAACCCAAACTCTCTCTCCAATTCCACCCTTAGTGTCTTAGTGTCTTTTGCCAGCCAAAAAGTTGGGGTAATAGTCCCCTGCAAACTCTGCTAACCTGCAGTTTGAGATTTCAACCAAACCAATCTGAAGAAGAAGATGACAAAAGACTTGATTGGCCTCACCACCCAAAAAACTTTTTTTAAAAACTTTTCTAGATCCACCTGGAAACCTGAAAAGTGGCAGTGAATCTCTAAACTGAAAAGGCCAAAGGGAGTTCAGTCTGACTGGGCTTCGGCTTTAGTTTTCTCCTCCCTGTGCTCAACCAGCCCGAGCTTTCAGACAGAAGAAAATTGAAGTTAATGGAGATATCAAACAGAGCCACAATTTCGAAGGCTCCTTTTCTACCACAAACCCACGGTCCATCTGCACGTGTAATCACAGACTTACGGGGTCTTCATTAACAGAGGCTCCGAGAAAAGGGGAGAGAATTCTCCATCGTTAAAAGGAACCCTCTATTATCACTATTATTTGTGTATAGCAACATCATGAGAATTTCTTTCTCTTCTTAAAATTCCCCCACAATATTGAAACAGCATTTGTTGTCCGATTCATATAAACGCTTGAGGCCTTTCTGGAAAACCATTACCATTCAATGGCTAGAAAATTGCTCTCCTTCCTTTAAAAAAAAAAAAAAAAGCTGGCACAGCAGCAGCTACACAGACAACAAAAACTTTCTCCTGCATAATCCTCGCTCGCAGAATGACAAAGAAATGATATTGACTTACCCCTGAACGGATGATGTGTTTGATAAGGGGGGGACTTTTTTTTTTTTTTTTTTGAAGATTTCTGTTCGGGAGCTGCACAGACAGCTGCAATTCATGGGCGACGCTGATTGCCAGAAACGCTATGGATTGGCATGGGGTCTGCAGCTCACAGATCCTGATCAATACCCCTACACTCACACGCCAGATGGTTTGGGGAAGGACAAAAATAAAATAGTCCAAATCAACCCACCATTATGTCTTTTTGTATTGCTCTGATAAACCTAGTTGTCGCACAAATGTGTTCTGACCGACACAAAATCAGAAGAGATTTTTGAGCATTAGGGTAGAAATAACGCAGTCTTGTTCTTCACTAGATTTCGACTACTGTTACTGTTTAGCAGAAGCAAAGCTGTTGGGCCCCTTATTCAGACTGAGTTTACTTGTGGTCTGTTTATTTTTGTGTGTGTGAATAATTTATAGAGTTTCTTCTTTTCTCCCCCTTTAATAACATTTAATACGGACAATACATATGAAAACAGACAATAAAATATTCAGTCTTTTCCTGCAATTGCTAACTTAAAAGTCAGATTTTTTTTCTTTTCACAATGAAGTAACCTGTATTTGCTGTTGAATCCACATTTGTTTATATGCTTCTTTTGACTCATTTAAGTTTAAGATCCACAGATTGAGTGGCTGATACAACTTGTCCAGATTCTAAAAGTGAGGAACGAGCACTTAAGGCACCACGTTTCTTTACCGTCTATTTGTGACTCAGTGTGGAAGCCAGACTATAATCGCAAATTAAAAGACAAAATTCTGAGTTACAGAATCTGTGAAGAATAAAGTCTTGAACGTCTAAACAAGGGCCAGTTAGAAAGCAACCTTTCTTTTCTATTAACTACAGGAAAGAAACGTCAAAGTTATTTCAAAACATATTCGAAAATCTTATTAGTATTGATATTCTTAAATTATCTTAAAGAACAAAATAGATGTTATCCTTTTTAAAAAGAAAAGGGGAAAGAACTTTCAAATCTAAATCAGTAAAAATTAGGGTGCTGACTAAACAAGTACTTTCATTTTCCTTTTAAACGGATTTTGGGTTAAGACATAAAACCTCAAACCACCATTAGAAAACAACATGAAAAATCTGCTTTAATCTGGCCCAATGAAATTATATACAAAGAAGCCAATACGATTTCATGATTTCCCTGAGATCGCCGATATTGATCGAGGGAAGGGGGAGGAATGGTGGGAGAGGGGGGAGGGAGAAAGAAAGAAAGAAAGGAAGCTAGGCATCGAGAAAATGCAACTCACCTTTCTGCTCCCAGACACATCGAAATGCAATTCCCAAGAGCAGATTTATCTTGGTGGCCTGTTCAATGAGTTTACCATTTTGAAAAATATTTAAATGGCCATTTATACACCCAAATTTCTATACAAAGGCAGCATCAACCTAGGGTCACTGGCCATTCTATGACCCTGAATCCAGGATACTGCAGCTTGCCTTGAGCATTGGGGTCCAGCAGATAGATGCTGCTCAGCCATCTTCTGCTTTATTTCAGTCACTGAGCACTGGCCGACCAACAGCAGGTTGTACTTTGTGAACTTTTGTTCCACTCAGTGTGTATTTCAAACATTAACTGACTCAAATTATCCCAAGTATCCAGCCACTACAATATGAGATAAAGAATGGAAAGAGAGAAGAGGGCGAAGAGGAGAGGCAAAAAACCCGAGACACAAAAGCATGGAGTCATTTTACTTGTGGTACTAAAGAGGTCAGCAGCCAGAAAACTATGTCTGGATAGCCTGGGATGTGCTGCTTGCTTACCCAGGCTTTGATATCACAGAGGAGACGACAGTATTTGAAACAATAATTGTCGAAGTATTGGCTAGAGCTCAATAAAGTTGATCTATGAATAATGTCACTGTACATTCGTGTGACAGGATGGGGGAGGGAGGGTCTCCACAGATAGAAGAGAGAGGAGGGCAGCAGAAAAGGTCACCGAGACTAAGAACTGTTTTCCAAATGAATTAAACCTTTCTGTAGTGCCAAGAGGGCACATACAGTATTCCAGGCTGTTCGTGTTTTCTTATCAAGTTTTCTTTAACAGCTGGAAGTGGTTGGAGGGGGCTGTCTTAAGGAGACCCCCTGCTCTTCTTTTGACAGCTGATCAAAAGAAAATAGGTCACGCTTCTCAAACTTATGTCCACCCTGTCCTTAATTACTGTCTCTTTAAACAAAGGCAACATCTGCGCAACCTCAGCCAGCTTGAATCTTCGGAGGCAAACAGAGCGCAACCTGCTTAGGAAGAATCTGTTACTTTTAAGGCTTTCATTGCCGAGTGTTGGCCTCTCCCGCAGGCTTCAACCACTTCTCCACCCCCTCACACATAGGCTGGGAGAAATCACCACCTCCTCTCTCCTCTGGCTGCACTCCTGTCTCTCAATCTTGGATTACCAAACAACGGAAATTCTAGAAAGACGAAGGTGTGCGGTTCAGAGCTATGAGCTCCCTGGAGCCGCTAGGGCTCAGGTCTTTTCAGAAACAAGGTTTCAATATGCAGATGTCAATGGAGACCGAGTCCTCTATTCATCAGCATAATCTGGGACGTTCCTCCCGGGATCCGCTGTGTGTGTGTGTGTGTGTGTGTGTGTGTGTGTGTGTGTGTGTGTGGAGCGTTAGGAGGAAGGTCCACGGTTGGTGTCCGGACTACTTTCCATACGTCCTGCTCCCGAGAGAAGTTTCCTCAGCATAGGCACCGTCAACAATCTTCATTCACCCCACCACAGGTTCTACACTCTCCCACTTCTTTCCAAGTCGCTGGCTGAGCAGCACTTGTTCACCTTGAAACCGCAGCTGCCGGAATTCTAGCTATGTTTTGCAATCTACAAGGGCCCTTCTGAAGCCTCATAACTTGGAGATTTATGAGCTCGCCGAGTAATTAAATGATGTTATTGTGTTAACTGTGTGTATGCATTACGGCTGCCTGCGCCGCCCGTGGGCCGTCGGCCGGCCGCTGCTCGCATGCAGCAAGAGCGTTGGAGTTCTTTTTGCCCCGTGGAGCACGCACGCCCAAGTCTCAGGAATCTATCGCGCATTAGAATACATTAGCGCTTGCATTTTTAAAGGCTTAACTACTGGCTCCCAGCTACAGACTCGGAAAGTGGCTTGCTAAGAGACGCGCGTTTGTTTTTACACCAGCACAAGAGCGGAGTCCTTTCCTCCTGGCTCACCAGCCTCGAAAAAAGCTTTGGGGTGGAGGCGAATGGACTAAAGCAATGCCCTTCTCTCCAGATCGCAGCTGCCCAAGAGGGATACAGCACGGCATCTTTCACATAATCTCTTCCCCTGGTTCCCACTCTAGCCTCTCTCTGTCTTTCCCCACCCCCTCCCTCTCCTTGACGTTTGAGTCCAGTAGCAAAGAAGGAAAAAAGGCACCGAGCCGTCAGCCAAACGTGAAACGCGCGGCACCGCCCCCTCCGCACCTATTGGTAGCTTCTGGAACAAGGCCCGCCCTCCTGAGCATCTCTGACCTCCAAGTGGCTGTCCGCGATGCCCGTCGAATGCCGCCCCGCCCCGGGCCCGGGAGGGTAGGTTGGCTGCCCCAGCGAGCCCAGAGCCCTTCTGGACAGCTCCCGCTAACCCAAACAGAAGACGTCGGCGCCGGAGCGGGCTCGGACATGGCGAGGCAGCGCGCCGGCCGGAGCGGCGGGGCCCGGTGATCTCTCCCTCCTTCCCCGCCCCCTCCCCTCCCCGCACGCACGCCCCGTCCGCCCCCACCCCGCCCCCACCCCGGGCGCGCCTGCCGGCTCGCAGCCCGGGGCACACACCCGCACGCACGCTCCCCTCACACACACTCCCGCGCGCCCGCGCCCGCCCCGCGCCCGCGGCCAGGCCCCGCCACGCGCGCCTCGCCAGCCCGCCGGCTGCCCCCTCCGCCCCCGCCGCCTCCGGGCCCCGATGGACTGAATGAAGGCTGCCTACACCGCCTATCGATGCCTCACCAAAGACCTAGAAGGCTGCGCCATGAACCCGGAGCTGACAATGGAAAGTCTGGGCACTTTGCACGGGCCGGCCGGCGGCGGCAGCGGCGGGGCTGGCGGCGGGGGCGGCGGCGGGGGCGGCGGGGGCCCCGGCCATGAGCAGGAGCTGCTGGCCAGCCCCAGCCCCCACCACGCGGGCCGAGGCGCCGCCGGCTCGCTACGCGGCCCGCCGCCGCCGCCCACGGCGCACCAGGAGCTGGGCACCGCGGCGGCCGCGGCGGCAGCGGCAGCGGCATCGCGTTCGGCCATGGTCACCAGCATGGCCTCGATCCTGGATGGCGGCGACTACCGACCCGAGCTCTCCATCCCGCTGCACCACGCCATGAGTATGTCCTGCGACTCGTCGCCGCCTGGCATGGGCATGAGCAACACTTACACCACGCTGACGCCGCTCCAGCCGCTGCCACCCATTTCCACCGTCTCGGACAAGTTCCACCACCCGCACCCGCACCACCACTCTCACCATCACCACCACCACCACCACCAGCGTCTGTCGGGCAACGTCAGCGGCAGCTTCACCCTTATGCGCGACGAGCGCGGGCTCCCTGCCATGAACAACCTTTACAGCCCCTACAAGGAGATGCCCGGCATGAGCCAGAGCCTGTCCCCGCTGGCTGCCACGCCGCTGGGCAACGGGCTGGGCGGCCTCCACAATGCGCAGCAGAGCCTGCCCAACTACGGGCCACCGGGCCACGACAAAATGCTCAGCCCCAACTTTGACGCGCACCACACTGCCATGCTGACCCGCGGTGAGCAGCACCTGTCCCGAGGCCTTGGCACCCCGCCTGCGGCCATGATGTCCCACCTCAATGGCCTGCACCACCCGAGCCACACTCAGTCCCATGGGCCAGTGTTGGCTCCCAGCCGCGAGCGTCCCCCATCATCCTCGTCGGGCTCGCAGGTAGCCACGTCGGGCCAGTTGGAGGAGATCAACACCAAAGAGGTTGCCCAGCGCATCACCGCGGAGCTGAAGCGCTACAGCATCCCGCAGGCGATCTTCGCGCAGAGGGTGCTATGCCGGTCTCAGGGGACTCTCTCTGACCTGCTCCGAAATCCAAAACCGTGGAGTAAACTCAAATCTGGCAGGGAAACCTTCCGCAGGATGTGGAAGTGGCTGCAGGAGCCTGAGTTCCAGCGTATGTCTGCCTTACGCCTGGCAGGTAAGCCCAGGGGTGCAACCAGAAACCAGACTGCTGAGGACAGGCTCCCCCGAGCTTGAAGGGCCCACGTCTGTGCTCCCCTTTACTTCTGTCGGTTTTCTCCTCCTCTCCCCTGCACGTTTCCTCGTTCTTTGCATTTTCTTCCATTTTCTCTTTCCTCCTCGTTTCCCTTTTCTTTTTCCCTTTTCCTCCTCTTCTTTCCTACGTTCTTTCCCTAAGCTTTCATTTCCCGCCAACCCCTGATTTCATTTGCCCTCCTCCCAGTGTGCCAACCTTTGCCCTTGTTTCTGACTTTTCCTAGCAGTGGGACTCGGGATGGGGGTGCGGTCTTGGCTAAGAGCCCTCTCTTTCCAGGACGCATCAGAAAGTGGGAATGACTCTAAACTGTATGCACTTGGAACTCTTAGACAACACATTTCAGTTTTCTAAGCTGCCTGGTCTTTCTAGGAGGCTGTTGAGAAGCTTTGCTTCTCAGGAGAGAAAAAGCACTTGCTCTGCTCCCCTCCCCTCCTATCCCTTATATTGGCCAAATTCTTTAGTCGCTGGCAGGAGGCATAGCCTTGCCAGGCTGGAGAACTGTCAACCAGGACACACCACCACTCCTGCAGTCCCGTCTCTGCCTCGGTGTTGTTGGCACAGGGATTTTCTGACCTGGCTTGACTAAAAGAGCGAGCTTTGGCCAGCTCCGTCATCAGTGTCTACAGCAAGGTGGGGGGTTGCAAGGACGAAGATTGGGACTTTTACGTTCATCGCTTTGGGAGGATGAGAGAGGAGAGACAGAGCTCACTGGCCAGCCGCCCTTGCGGGGCTTCTAGTGTAGGCTAAGATTTGCTGAGGTGTGCCGGGACTCTGACAGAAGCTTCCTAAGAGCTCAAGAAATTAAGATGCTGGTTAGTTAATTCATCTTGGGCCGGCCGTGGGCTGCAAGCTCCGCCTTTGCATTAAGCGGGCGTTGATTGTACTCTTGGCCCGGCGGCGGGGAGGGCTGGCTGCCCACGGGAGGGGACGGGTCGCCGCGCGGGTTACATTGTTCTGGAGCGGGCTCGGCTCTTTGTGCCTCCTCTAGCGGCCGAGCCGCGAGGTACAACCCTCTATTGTTCTAGGAGCACGGAAACCTCCCGTGTGGGAGGCGGGTGCGGGAGCCAGGGCAAAACACTCAGCAGTAGCTGCGACTGGTACATAGGAGCGCAGTTTTATGCGCGAAGACCCAGCGCCGCGCGTCTGTCTACTGCTCGGCCTCAGGACTGAGGCAAGAACCCAGAGAGAGTGTCCAGACCCGCATCGAGGAGGATGTACAATACTCTATTGCAGCCCAAGATAGGGAGCTTCTCTTGCCTGAGGTAGGGAGAGATCAAACATAAGCTCCAAGAGAACAATTCAGGGTGTTGTTGATGTGGGTAGCGCTCAGATGTAGGTAGGCTGATTTGGAGGAGCTCTTTGGCAAACCTGCTGAGCTTAGAGCGCTTTCCGAGCTGTGAGCTCAGGCCCCTTACTCCCATCCCTGACGCTTTTCTTGCACCGCTGGTCCCAGCTTGTGGGTTGCACTCTACTGACGCTGGACAGGGCTCCGGGATGTGACAGGCACCTGCACTCCAATTTGGCGAGGGGGCGTTTCCTTTCTGACAGCCTGCTCCTTGGTGCGTTGTTTGAGGGATTTTGATCTCCACTCAGTAACCCGTCCCGTAGTGATTTAAGAAGGTGAAGACCATCTTTCCGCCAAAGAACCTCCCCCAAATCGTTGGATTGCAGATACTTTTGAGTCAATTTATGTCAGCTATATATTTATTCATATTCTCTGTCTTTGCCTGTGTCTGTCACTGTCCCTCTCTCCTTACCTTTTTTTAGTTACGTCTTCATCCTCGTGTGATTCTCAGATTTGCTCTTGGTTCCTGGCAAAGATAAAGTCAAGTGAGGAAAGAATAGTGAGGAGAAATAAACTAGAGGCTTCCTGACAATTCAGTGTAGTACCGCAACTCTCTATTTTAGATTCCCCTAAGTACCGAAGGCCGTTTCAGGCTGGTTCCAGCAAGGGCTGCACTGGGGGGTGCAGAAAGACCTCGCAGCTGCTCTTGGAGGTACAGTGAAAGGCAGAATGACAGCTATTCTCCCACGGATCTCAGAGCGCTGCCGCCCCCTCACGCCTGTCGGGCAAAGGACATGGTTTTTGAAAACACGTGCCTACCGCCTGTGAGTCTAAAAGCTAGATGAAGCGATTGCTCACTATTAGCTGTACAATGGCCCCAACCGTTGGCAGGCTGAGGAAGCATGTGGCATCTAGAGAGTTCTGGGGGTAACTCTGAAGGGCAGGCATCCAAAATGCATTGTCTGTGTGGTGGGCTTTTCTACAGGAGATGGAATACCTCCCCCCAAGAGTGGGTTGTGCGGCTGAGGACTTGCCTTTGCTCAAGCATTCAAATGTGTGTCTGTTTTATTACCCTGGGTTGAAAAGGGACAAGGGCTTTAGCCTTTTTATCTGACCATTTTATCAGCAACTACAAGTGTGTTGAGTAGTTATTATTACATAGAAGGCTTTTCAGTTTGGGGTCAGTAGATCAGTCTCTTCAGAAACTGACTCAGAAACTGGGACTGGTAAGTAGGTATTATGTGCTCAGGAGCACTAAGGGACAAGAGCAAATGGAGAAGAAAAGCGGAGGCTTTCTCTGCCTGGACTATCGATCGGAATCCCTAATCCCTACCCACAGCCACCAAGGCCCACCCCATTGGGCCCTAGGAGTAAATGGGTCGGCCCACTGCCCAGCCCCCAATCTTGTCCCAACCTGGGTCTCTTTCCTTTCACTTCCCTTTCTTTTTCTCACTTTGGGTCCCTCTGGGTCCTACTGGCGTTCCGCAGACAGTGATTGAGGAACGGAAAATCTCACGCTTGAGCCACGTACTTCCCGCCACTACCAAGACAGGTTCCCTCCTGTCCCTCTGCTTTTAGGTTGTCTTGTGCTGCCTGAGACTAGCCAAGAGAGTGACGTTTAAAGGAGAGGGAGAAGACTCGGGGGAACTCAGAGTTCCCGACACCACATTTCAGAGAAGGGAATCTCAAATGCACAATTTCCTTTGGAAAGGGTGGCCAGGGCAGCCGTTATTTGGAAGCCCCCCATCGGGTCTTTTGGGGTCCCCAAGCCTGCTCCTATGAGAAACGGGTTTTTTTTTTTTTTTTTATTAACCTGGCAAGAGGCAGTGAGGACAGATTCCAAGAATTCAATCACACTCCAGCTTTGAGTCCGAGAGGTCTCTGCACCAAGCACAAATGGGAGCAAGGGGTAGCTGAGAAAACCCAAGCAAGAACCTACAAGTGCATCCCACGGAGACCCCCTTACACTCTCCACTGACGCTGCCACTTCCTGTGAGCCCTAATTCACTAGCAATCTGCCCAGAGCTGACCTCCATTCCCCACCGCAGGCAGACAGATGAGAAGTGGTTCTCAAGACCAGGCTACAGTCACCTCAGGCTGCTGAAGGCCCTAACCAATCCAAGATGTTCCACCTGCTACCCACCACGGCGGGGCACCACCTGGGCAATGCACTGTAGCTCCTGCCAGGGGCACCAAGTTGGTGCCTTACCCCTGCTGCACCCGGGACTCCTCTGGGTAGTGTGGTCCACCGATGTTTCTGAAACCAAAAGATAAATTAGGGGGTTTCCTTTGTAGTGCACCCCCCCACCCCGGGCCGCAGCCCAAGCGCACCTCTTCCTGCGTCTAGTGGAAGAGCCAGGCTGGAGAGGCCAAACACACCCTATGCCTGTACAGAACAGAAAAAAATGTATGCCGGCTGGCGAATCGGATTAATAATTGAAAAGCCTGCTACCTTCCTTGCTTGGTCAGGTCCGGGTGCCGGGAGAACACTTTCCTAATAAGTGTCTGGGTTGGCAGGAGTGGGCATCGGAGGAGGAATGAGAAGGGAGGGAGCCGAGGCGAGCAATGTCCCAGGACGCCGGGCGCCCTCCACTATAGAGGCCAGGCATTTATTTTTATTCCAGGCTTTCCACCGTGTGGTTCTGTCACTTTCTCAAACAAATGTGTATATGGAAGGAGATCGATACTGATAATATTTAGAAGATTAAAAGAGCATTAATGCTGGCAACAATAACGTAAACGTGTGGACCCAGATTTCATTGATCTGGAACCTGATCCGGCGCGTTTCCAGTAAGTCCAACGGCGCGCTCTTCCCAGCAGAGTGCTCGCCAGCGCCCAGGCTCCCCCGCGCTCCGCCTGAGCTGCTTTCCCCGCTGGGGCCGGGTTTTCAGGTCTGACCGCAACTCCTTCCACGCACAGCCCCAGCCAGCTCCTTCGGCACCAGGGTTCGCTTCTCCTGCAAGGCTTCTACCCTCTCCCCTAGCTTGGTCGAGCCGAGAAGCTGGGTAGAACGGCTCCCAGAGCACTTGTGTTTGGCTGTTCTGCGTTGAACTTCAGTCTCGATATGCTCGAAAGACCACGTTTAGAGATGACTTGGCTAAAGCTGCCTGACAAATGATCTGATGACCTCCTCTCTACTTACCGGTTTCTGTATTAAGTCCTACTTGCTGGCTTCTTTGTGCCTTACCAAGTTGGACAATTAAATGATACCCGATATCAAAAGCCAGGGCTTTTATCCATCAAATTAGTTAGCTCTGTTTTGGCCAAATCAGGGCAACCTGGGAAGAATCTTGCCTCCTTCCTCGGCTAGAGTAGGATGATAGGAAAAGCCAACCGGGGAGCACCCAACCTGCTCCCCTCTGCTGCTCTACCGGAGGTCAGAGGCCCATTCTAAGTGAAGGGAGGTTCTCTGAGGCACCCGAAATAAATGGAAAAGAAAGAACTTTTCAGCTTTTCCTTCTACTTTTGTGGGTCACAGCACACCCTGCTAGCCCATCTGCTTGGAAGGCCATGGCTTGTACTTCTGGAAGAAACACAGGAGTAAGTTTTAGCAAAGAAAAGGTTTGGACTGTAGTGAGAGATGGGATGAGAACTCCACTACTCTGGTTTTTTTGAAGTTTACACATCCTTCAGCTTG